GTATGTATGTTCATGTATAACTGAAAAATTGTACTCTATACTGGAATTTGACACAGCATTGTAAAATGACTATAACTCAATAAAAAATATTTGAAAAAAATTGCAAATCTGACTGTGTAATTCTGCTGCCTCAAATACCTCAACACATCCCAGGAACACTCTTCACTTCACTCAGGACGTTATTTCTGCTTCCAGTCGCACTTTCTTTTACCTCCTTTTCCTCCTTTGTCTGCTTGATAAATTTCCTAAGACTCTGCGGAACTCCTCCTACGGAAAGCAATTCTATACTGTTCCAGAGTTGAGCACCTCCCTTTCTGTGCTCCCACAAGGTCTTAGATCTCTCTCATCATGTATGCCTCTCTCACTGCGCTGTGAACCTGAAAGGGCAGAACTATTACCTTCTTATTTAACGTACCTGACAAAGACCTACGGGAGGGAAGGAAGGAACAGAGGTAGACATGAAGGCAGGAAGGAACCAAGGCAAGAACTGGACACACTTTAACCAAAACAACTGACTAAGGAACAGAACCACCACAATCTGAGAAGTAAACACCAACCCTACTCCTTAACCTTCTAAAAGGAACAATGAAATTAAATTCAATAAGCCATCAACACTTTGAAAAATATGTGAACAGACTCAAAATGACGGTAAAATTGCTGTGTTCACAAGTAAATGAGATATTAGCATAGAACATTTGAGAAAAATCATTTACTCCTCCTTACTTTGTAAATGATTATAATTAGCACATTAATGGCACTTACCACTTTGTAAACGATTATAATTAGCACACTGATGGCACTTAACCCTAGGAGACCTCACTGTGCACCTGTCATCCTATATTACAAACTGCCCCAAGGTACGAACAGCCCAAGCACCCTGCAGACGGCCGGAAGCCTGCTGGTACCCTGAGAAAGCGGCAAAGGGGCAAAGGGCTTCCCAGACTCCCACCTTCTTGGACTAAGTCTTCTGCAGTGTTGACGCCATGCTCAATCAGCTTCTGGCAGTCATCTAGTGGTTTAATGGTCTCCTGTTCAATGGTGTCCACCTCTTGCAAAAGGGTCACCAATCGTTCATCCAAGAGCTTCCCAAGGGTTCCCTTTAAATCATTAAAATGCTGTTTGAGGACATCTCTTGTCTGGGATGCACTCTCTCTGATCTGAAAAGAAAGAACATACAAACTCAGAATGAGACTCTCTGGAAAAGGCTAATCCACAGGCATCAACGCATAATAATCTCAAGGCACTGCACAATCATCACCTTCTATTTATTGATAAACCAGATGTGAGTCATCTGTGCGCATATGACTGCAGTAGAACTGGCCCTCAGGTGAGACGGGATGGGTCCCCTCATTCACAGACGATGTCAGTTTGGTGAAGTTAATTAAGCACACCATGTCTCAACTCCCTTATTTGTCAAATGAATATACTAATGCTTACCTCATGGAGCTGCTGTGAGGGTTAAATAAACACAACCTATGTACTGCACTTGGTAAAGTAACTGGCACATCGGTGTTCTCAATAAATAAATGTAAAAGTAAGTAGTATCTACACAAAGTAGCTCTTAGAAATAGTATGTTTCAGTTCAAAAAAAATTTTAAATTAAGCAGGGATTAAAATTCATTCTACTTTAAAGAAGTAAAGAATGGTAGACTAAAAAGCCATAGTGCAAAAAAAAACACACTAAAGGACTAAAGGCCCTTATTATGCTAAAAGAACACTGAGAATTTATTTAAAATCCACAAGGCTCATAAAAGGCAGAAAATGTTCAGGAAAACACACCTCTGGGACAATGACTTCATCCTTTTTGAGTCATGGTCCTCTCTGTGAATCTCAATGAGAAGTTCATATACCTTCTTCCCAAAAAAATGAATAATCCCTAACTAAAAGAAATGTATTCAATTTCAGAGCTTACAAATGCCCTCAAATCTCAACCATGGCTTGCCTGGAGCTGTAATTCTGAAACTTGGTTTGCAGAAGAATCACATAAACTGCCTGTTATAATTCAGATTGTAGGGCTCCACCCAGAACCAGCTTGGAGAAGGGGCCAGAGGAGTGTATGGACAGAGTTCTTATTCACAAGCACTCCTGTGATTTTGTAGCCCATGTTTTGAGAAACACTATCCTAGGTCCACAGAGCCCAGATTAAGAATTGCTGTTCTAGGACACGACAGGAAAATCTTTACAACTCACAACTATTTTGAAAACAAATCAGTTGACCGTACAGACACTAGATTTTTTTTTAAGGAATACAGATAACACACAATTCCCTTTTTCTCACTCAACAGGGAAATTCTAACTTCAAGACAAACACTCAGTTGAATTAAAGCAAACACATATTCTACTTTGAAGATATTATATTAGTTTCCTATGACATGTTATGTTTACCACCCTGCCCCTTTGCTAACTTGACCTTAGCAAGAGTATCTGAAGCCCAAGAAAAATCCACCAAGAAAAGAACACATCAAAACATGGATAAAGCAGAATATTTCAACAGTTAAGAGAAATTTAGAAAGCTTTCTTTTTATTCTCTAACACTAAACTTAAAAAGCAGAATGCAAAATTGTTTTCCAGAAACATTCTCAACCATGCAAAAACAAAAGATGTCCATGCTAAGGACTACAAAGATACACAAGGGAACAAAAGGATGGGGAGGGGGTGTTAACTGGCTGGTGTGGGCAGATAAAGTAAAGAATTTTTTCTCCTTTTGACACGAATGTAAGTTACAATGGTATGTGTGCAGTAAGAGAGTTCCTCTAATTATGAAGAAAAAGAGAAATCCTAATTTAAGTTTAATTGTTCACTAGTCTATGTAGACTTGCTCAAGAACTTCTAAATCCAAGTCAAAATTTTAAAAACGCTGGGGGTAAACTCAAAATGTATTTGATTTGGTGTATCATTCAACTGTGGGATTCCTGAGAGCAGCACCTAGCAAATACATGTTGTTTAATAAAATTAAGTTAACCATGTATGCCTTTAAGACCTTTTAAAAAGAACCAGGGAGACAATGAGGTGTGATTTGGATACATTACCTGAAACATTGTTAGAAATGCAGATGCTCAGGCCCCACCCAGAACCACTAGATCAGAACCTGCATCAGAAGTAAGATCCCCAGGTGACTCATACAGACCTTACAGGCACCAGAATAAGTGAAGACAACATGTCAAACGCTTAACTACAGATCGCACCCCCACCACCGAGAGGAAACTCTGCAGTCCAGAGCTATACCAGCAAGGTCCCGCCTGGCTCCTTAACGGACGCCGCACACACAGGAAGTGCACTGGTTAGGTAAAGTCAGTTTCCTCTTTAGAAAGAATTCAAAAGCTCCTTCAGCTGCTGCAGAGCCTCATTCCGTTTTGTTTTTGTTTCAGAACCTCAAGAAAAAAAAAAAAGGAAAGTGTGTGAACACACAGCAGTAAATGGGCCAGTGAAGGGAGAAACCGTTTCTAATTCCAGTTCCTATAATTTCATTGTTAATCTGAGCCATTTGGGTTCACAGATTCCTGACCACCGCTGTTTCAAACTTGACACTACCTTGGCATCATTTTCTTCCCTGAAATAGTTCATAATGCAAAGCCACAGTCACCTTTAATCCAATCATGCAACTAATCAAGATCATCTGCTTGGCTTTGATGAAAGTAATTGTAAAATGCGGTCTTCACTGCTGAGTGAATTTCTGTGTGTCTGATGTGATACCAGGGTCCAGCGTGCTCCCTGTTAGCTCAATAAAGTTGCCCAATAACTCTGAGAGGCGAGTCTGTACTGTCTACGTTGAAGAAGGCAAGGCTCAAAGAAGTCGAATACCTTCCCCACAGCTTCCCAGTGCCAGAAACAGTCTGACTCCAAGGACCAAGGGCTTTCCCCTGCACCAAGCTGTTCAGTACTGACAGACCCCATTTTAAAGAGTTCCAGTAAACTGGTAACTTCTGTATTGGCTGAGGACACTTCCTGCTGTAACATGTATTTCTTGCCCTTGCAGAAAGAATCCTGTGATAGACAATGGGGCAGGGCAAAACAACCGTGAAGGTGTGTAACAAAGTACACTTAAGAAGAATACAAATGACACACAACACAAGGCCTCAAAAAGGAAACTGTAATATACATTGTTTATGTTGGTTAATAATATTCAGAACTGAAACCTCTACTGTAACAGACCATTAAAATGTACATACAAAACTTCCACTACAGTTGACTCTAATTCCAAAGCAATTGCATTTCTTAGGTTTTGACATGAGGACAGGTTTCCCCAAATGCCAAAAAATCAAGTTTATACATCAATCCTAAGCCATGCAAAAGCCTATTAAATATATACTTCACAGCTCTCCAAAGCAACAGTGACTGATACATTTTCCTCTAGAGGTCAGCTACTAAAATGTCACAAAATCTATATAGGATCTGATTTTAAGACATCTCTGGTCTTAAGTGGCAATATACATTTGCTCTATTTATAATAGTAATATAACGTGTGTTTCAGGAAATTAAGTATCTGGATCTCCACTACTGCCTCCAAAACATGCATTTTCATGACTTTATTGAAGAAAGGAATTTTTATCCTCCAAGTTTACGCTAAGAATTTATTTTCCCAATTGCTTTGCTTATCAGAAACTAAAACTATTTTTAAATTAGAGACTGACTTTAAACACTATTACTATTAGCTAACAAGAACACAGGAATCAAAAATTAAAGACAAGTGGGGAGAGTATAGCTCAAGTGGTAGAATACATGCTTAGCATACACAAGGTCCTGAGTTCAATCCCCAGTACCTCCTCTAAGAATAAATAAATAAATAAATAAACCTAATTACCTCCCTGCAAAAAAATTTTTTAAATTCAAAATAAAAAATTAGGCAAAGTAAAGATACAAAATAGTCAACTGAAATTGAAGAAGCTAACCAAAATATTTCTTCTCAGTTCATACAAAATGTACTGCATTAGCTATTTGTCTTCACACTGACACTAAGACATTAGTCATTAAAAGTAATAATAATGGCAAAAATAACAATACAGGAACAGTACCATCTACTGACCACTTACTAGTGTTATACCCATGGTCTCTCTTAAACTCTACCACAACCCTATGAAGAAATCATCTGCGTGTGAGTGGCATAGGAGTCAGATGAACCTGCCCACATCACAAAGCGGGTCAAGTGGCAGAGAATTTGAATTGTCGGATTCATGAATGGACTCACAAGCCTTGCTACATTTCCTTCTTGTCTCTCTTACAGTAAGGCTTTTAATGCTTATTTGAAAACTTTCAAGAAGAAACTCTTTATTATAGGATTCAGCAGTCTGTTATGTCACTGACTACCAACGAACCACGAGCCACGGCTCCTGGTACTCAGCCTCACAGAGACCTCTCTCCTAGAACACAGGCTGGGCTGGGGCCTGGCAGTGCAGTCCCTCGTGCACAGTTACAGAGAGGCACTGATGCTGTGCCAGTCCCAGGCCTCTGCCTTAAGAGAACCTGGCAACTTCCGCTTCTGCACTTTGTGGGGTCATTAGCCCCCACGAAAACAGCATGCTTTTCTTTCTTGAGAGAAAAAGTGGGAGGCGGAGAAGAGTGTGAGGGGCAGGAGGAAGAGAGACTGGCATCCAGGCCCAGCCATGCCAGCGGTCCAATTGAGTCCTGCTACCACATAAGGCTCCAAACAGGGAAGTGAATATTCTATCTTGAACATTCCAGCCTCAGCTGCCATCTGACTGCAATTACATGAGAGGTGCCAGCAAAATCCAGGGAACTGCCCAACTGAGCCCCAGTCAATCCCAGAATACTAAACAAGTCATTGCTTTTTAAGCCATTACGCTTTGGCATAGTTTATTATGTAGCAACAAATAACCAAGCCGTATGACAAAACAAATGTTTAATTCTTGATTACCTGCATCACTGAATAGGGTGCAAGACCACGAACAAGCTAAAATGAAAGTCTGCAAAATCACACCCACAGCATTCATAGAGGCACTCATCCAATATTTATGAAGGTCTAGTATGTGCCAGGAATTGTGGTCAGAAAGATGAATAAGGCATGATCCTGACCTCAAAAAACTGTCAGTCTAGTAAAGGAGATAGTTGTAAGCAGACGTAACTAAAATTAAAACTACTGAATTCTTATACAAGTGGGACAGCCACAAACAGCCATCAGAGCTCAAAAAGGTTATTCTGCTGGGAAAGAAAGTAGGAGATAGTTAAAGAATAAGTTGCCACTTGGAGAAGTAGGGGAGGTCACCTTGAATAATGACAGTATTTGGTGGTATTATTATTATGGCTAAAATTTATTAAGCAGTTCATACGTCCCAAGCATTGGGCTAAACATTTTAAATACAGCGAAACATTTTAAGTGCATTTCTCATTTTAATGCCCACACTGGCCAAGTAAAGTAGGTACTACTGTCACTGTATAGATAGGAAAATGAGGGGTCAGGAAAGTTAAGTTTTCTCAAGTTCTCATGACAGGGACAAGCGGGAATTAAGAGAAATAATTGCAAATAAAAGTGATCCATGAATACCCCTCAGCAATACAAGCCTGTCCTACTTTGTTTAGCTTTTTAGATCACAAACTAACCATATTATTTACCAGATGTCTAGTAACAAGAATATTCTTCTCTATTAAAATTATATATACATTACACTCTACACTGAAAAAACTTTGTCTACACAGAGAGAAACTGGGCACCTCTGTGACACACACTTTTCAACGAACATCCCTGAGTTTAACATGATTGATTCCGAACGCTTGCTTTAACTCCCTTTTATATCCTACTATATTTCAAGTGGGGTTTGGACTCAACAAGCAGCAGCTTTCAGAGCGTTGTATTTAAAGACAATTTGTGAAAAGATTTGCTTGAGAAAAGATAATCGAATAGCCAGCGTAAACACGTGGTCTTTTGCACACAAATACCCGTGCAGCTTTCTTCCCCTTTGGTGGTTATTCAGTTTTGCTTGTAGAGCTTTGCTTCCAGTATTTTGGCATTTCTGAGTCAATACGTGTCAGCCCACCACCAACAAACGCTCCCTAAGCACCTATGTGATAGACGATGCACCTCTGCATTAAAAATTAGACCATACATGGGAAATGTTTCATAAAACATGCTTACGATATAATGTTAACAACAACAACAACAAAAAGCCCAGATATGAAGTTGCATATACAGTAGTCTTTCACTTTGGCAAAATAGTATGTTTAGAAGGATACACCAAAATGTTAACGGTTGTCTGTAAGAAGTAGAATTATGGGTTATTTTCAAACTATTTCATCTGTTCTTGATTTAACTTCTTCTCAGGATGCTATAATAGGGACATTTTAATTACCACTGCAGTAACAAATTATTTTCAAACAGATTTTTGGACTGTTTTGAAAACGGGTATCAGAAGGGGAAGTGGGAGATAAAAGAAGCAATAATAGCTTTCTTTGCTGAGCTACTAAGACTTCCTGCCCTGGTTTTCTGAAATAACTTTTTTTTCCCCTGCTGAGCTCTCTATCTGTTCCGGTCTTTAACTAGCATGGTATGTGTTTTCAAATCCTGTAGGAATAACAATCTACAGAGAACCTGGTATTGTGCATTAGAAATATCAAGATTCCTAGTTAAAACATCAAAAAAATTATCTGCAATCAACTATTAAAAAGTCCAAAAGAAAATACTATGAGACACAAATGGCCACACTACAGGTGTTAAGACATACGAGGACAAGCGCTGGCTTGAGACTGTCCGTTATTCACTTGTCTGTCATTGTGTAATTAACAAACCTACACTGTTTCAAACTATTTTAATCTTGAGGATGAACCACAGCAATTTACAACAGCACACCTATGGTTTAGATTAAACTACAGAAACTGTTAGAGAGCTAGTGAAGCGCTACTGGTATACTCTAAGGCAGTGTGTCTCAGTTTTCAATGGGCACACACGTCACACCTGGTGATCTCGTTAAGGTGCCGATGACAATCCAGTAGGTCTAGGTGGGGCCTGATTTCTGCATTCTTCACAAGCTCTCTGGTCATAATACTACGGCTGCAGTCATGGCCCACGCTTGCAGTAGCAAGGATCAAA